TGCTTCAGCCCCCTTGTAACAAGACCATTTTTCTCTTCATGTTTCTATGCACTCTGGGAGTTCAGGGCCTGCCACCCCTTAGAGCTGACATAATCACTAAATTCAGGTTTTTATGCTGTGAATTTTTTTATGCTGTGAATTGCTGGAGATCTTTGTCCTTGACTCCATCTTGTAGTTATTCAGGTCAGCAGAGCCATTTCTTTTGTGTTGGTGAGAGGGAAAAATAGAAATAGCAACTGAAATAAGTCAAATTTTAAAAAATCAGTCTGTTTCTTAGTCTTCTTGGTAATTTGGGTCATGTCCTAATATTGTCACTCAAGCCGGTGGCTGCTGCTCGTAGAACAGGATATGATACCATGGAGTATTATTTCTCAGGCTGTAGCATGTACTGGCTGTATGAATTCTGTCACTTCCTCATGAGGACAGTTCTGAAATGAACTTTTATTGAGAAAACTTTTTTTCTTTTCCTATATGAAGTTAGAATAGTTTGGAATGCATTTGTAGTGGTAGAGGTGTTATAATGTGAAACTCACTAATTGTTAATAGAATTTATTTTTTTTTTTATTTCTGCATCCAGGCTTCACTTATGAAATATTCGATGAAAACTTAGGCCTTAGTGTGTTTGGTTGTGTTTAAAGAATTCAAAATGCTCTGCTTGCAATCTGTGTATTTGAGTGTTTCTGAGTAACTTCTTTTAAAGTGCTGCTGTGTTTTCACAGGCTGGACACCACGCTCATAGACTTTACCGACATGAAGTGCCAACGAGGGGATTTAAGCTTCATTTTTAATGGTGATGCAGCACCCTCTGAATCTTTTGTAGTTTTAGACAATGAACAAAAAGTTTACCAACGAATACACCATGAGGTAAATATCTGTGTGAATGAGGGGGTGAAACACCTTGGGCTTTTACCGTGCAGCAGAAGTCTGACTTACTTTATCAATCAAAATGTGCCTCTCAACAAGACGCGGAGACTCTAGAAGACTGAACTAAAAATTACTCTAAACTGAAGTGTTTTTTGTTAATTTACTTGCTTGCCACTGCTCTGCACCCGTTCAGTCACCTTGGCCAGTTTAATATTTAACCATACAAAGATATGACTCGTTGGACCCCTTGTATTTAGTCCAGTTTTTAATTACATCTTTATCCACCAATCACTTAAGCACGTGGATCTTTGCCTATGGAAAGGGTGTGGCTCTGAGCTGGGTAATCACACTTGGATGCTTTATTTGCAATAATATTTAAGATTATACCATTTGGTAACCATTTGGCTGGAGCTTCTATAAAACGGTTTAAAAATTCAGGAAGCACTAATTCTGGAAAAAGTTCCAAATGAAAAGGTTTATTGATTTATTTTTATTTATTTTTTTTTTTAGAAGAAGCAATCATTACTACTAAGTTCTATTCAGTATTTGGGAATTTTTCTCCTAGGAATCTGAGATGGAAACCGAAGAAGAGGTTGACATTTTGATGAGCAGCGATATTTACTCCGCAACATTATCAACCAAATCCATCACCTTCACGCGTGCCCAAACAGGGTGGCTTTTTCGAGAAGACAAAACAGTAAGCTGAAAATTTCACAAACTGTTTTACTGGAGGTAAAATAGTTCAGACAGCTGTATGGTGATGTAGGTGGGGAGAAATAAGGAGTATAATATGATGTTTAGGACAGAGGAAAAATCCTTGTGTTGGTGCTGTAGATACCTTACTGGGATTGTGCACTGATAACTCATGTGGTTGGTTGTGTAAATTATAACACTTCAATCCCAAAGTCATCTCACTGCCATTACTCGGGTATACAAGAATTTAAATGTGTTTATTTTATCTCCTGCGAGTCATTAAATCTGTCCCGTTGCTTTTGTGCAGGAAAGAGTAGGAAACTTTTTGGCAGATTTCTACCTGGTTAATGGACTTGTGTTAGAGTCAAGGAAAAGAAGAGAACATCTCAGCGAGGAGGATATTCTTCGAAATAAAGCTATCATGGAGAGCCTGAGTAAAGGTGGCAACTTAATGGAACAGAATTTTGAGGTATATTGAAGTCATTCTTCCCAGTAGGCGAATGATCCTTCACAGCAGTCACTTAGCAAAATGTATACACAATGTTTTCATTCTGTTTTGATTGTCATAATTTAAAAATAATAAATCTGACCTATAATCATGGTGATACGTTAGGGAATTACCCTGATTAGGGCACACATTGAGGAATTTCTGTGTGGATTCAGTCTTAAATTGTCTCTCAGTAAAAGATGATAGCTTTGGCTGTGGCAAATCACTTCAGCTTCTTTCAGACCAAATGCATATTATTTCAAATGCCTTTCTGGTTCTCTTTTCAATCATGTTTTCCTTTAGCTTCATTAAAATGGCCTAAGCCTGTTATTATCACCATGCAATCAAGCGCTATTCAGAACGAGCCAGACATCATCTGGGAACATGCACACAGCCTTTTAAAAAGGAGTCATTTATTTCTGTATTAGCTTGCGCTTTACTTCTCATTCAGACCCTCAAATTAAGTGATTAACTGATGGATTAAAATAGCCACTTTCTGCATAAAATACATTTTGAGGCCAAATACCTAAATGGAGACTGTGATGGTGAAGCCTCAGCTGCGAGCGCAGTAGATTGTGCTGCTGCTCTTCCAAAAACTGAACTATGGTTGTGTCTGTGAATGGCGAAATATGGAGCTCATGTAAGGAGAGATAAAATTGTGATGTGTTTTTCTGCACAGCCCGTGCGGCGACAGTCGCTTACGCCACCGTCCCCCAATACCATCACCTGGGAAGAGTACATTTCTGCTGAGAATGGAAAGTGAGTATTGGTGGTTTATTGATGGTCACTTCCGTAGACACTTCTGTGGGATTTTTTCCCCTATTATGTAGTTTCTGTGTTCTTTTTGCTTATAGTTTTCTGGGGACAGAGGAACACAGGATCTGGTGGTGGTTGGTGTTTAATAATCTTCAGTGAGCTCCTGGGAACACATAAACAATATTGCATCAGCTGAGGCTGAAAATATTGAATGTGCATTTGCCAGGTACCTACGGCGTGAAATTTAAACATCTTGAAACCCTGCACAGCTAAGCTGGCTTCTTTTAAAGGAAGATTTTCTAACAGATTCATTACTGTATTTATCTTTACAATAGCAATAAATACTCCAACTCGCCATGTTTAAAATGAAAGTTTAATTGGACTCTAGTACCAGTGGCACTGTACAAAAATGCACAATTTTGAATACAAGGATACGCAGATCTGTTGTGGTGTTTTGGGTTTTTTTAACTAGTTTCCCTTGAAATATATTTGTGAGAGAACAAATACTCAAGCAGAATCAATAGGTTATGCTTGAACAGCTGCTACTATTGGGACAGAAACATGCATGTATATAAGATTTTGCTTTGTTTAATTATCTGATTAACAACTGAAGTGAGTTCAATGGGAAATCTAGATTTCTAGCCAATATAGAGCAGAAGAGGAAAAGATTTGGTATCTTATTTGTTGTCTCTTACTCTCCTATAACAGAATTTTCTTCCCTTGTTTTCTAGTATTGCCTTTTAGAGATAGCAGAGTGACTTTTCCACTTTCTCTGAGATCGTTTCATAGTCTAGGCTGAAAACAAAACTAGCCTTTTTCTAGTTCAACTCTATACTTTGTTCATGTATAGACTCTTTTATTTAACATCTGAAATCAGCTGTATATATTTCTGGATAATTGTCATATATTTTTGTAGTGTTTATTAATATAATATTTATAAGAAATTATTTGAGAACTTTTCTTAGATCTTTTTCCACACTGTTCTTGTCTTGTCTCCTGGTTTAGTAGAACTCAGAGTAATCTAAATTAAAGTAGTTACTGACTCATCTTTACAGTAAAATCTGTGCATGGTGTTTGCTTTACTGTAGGGATTCTTCACTGACTTTTTCAGTCTTGAGTCTTGCTTCCTTCCTTTAAAACCAAGGTTTGACCAAGAGACAACCTGACCCTGTCTTTGTCCCCACAGAGCCCCTCACCTGGGCAGGGAGCTTGTCTGCAAGGAGAGCAAGAAAACCTTCAAAGCCACCATTGCCATGAGCCAGGAGTTTCCCCTGGGAATCGAATCGTAAGTCAAAATTATTGGCCGTGAATGTTATATATGAAGGAAATGTTGTGATGTGGTGTGGGACCACACGCTGCAGTCTGGTGTGTGAAATGAGGACGAGAAATTAATAACTTTGGATCACTTTTATCTTTTCTAGAGGGAAAGCTTGTGAAACAAGCATTTGTAATGAAAATCTCGTTTCCTTTTCAGGTTATTGAATGTTTTAGAAGTAATTGCACCCTTCAAGCACTTTAACAAACTTAGAGAATTTGTTCAAATGAAGCTTCCACCAGGCTTTCCTGTCAAATTAGGTAAGCTGACCACAACAACTCTTGGCTTTATATTTGTAAAGTGTGTGTCCTTATTTATGCAACATGTTCAAGGCTTCTGTTGAGTTTTGGGAAAGAACTCCCTTAGAGTGTGTTACTATAGATTTTGGGAGAAAATAGTTACATTAGGGGAAGTAACATCAGGTAGGAAATCTGTGAGTATAGTCCTTCTCAGGAAGAGAGCTCTCTAATTTGTTTTTCTAATGCTAGGGGCTTGTTCTAGACTAAAATAGATCTACTGAATTATCCTTGTGTTCAAGGATGATTGTAGTCAGGAGTTAAGTCTTTTGTAGCGTTTTTGTATTTCTTTTTTCCTCAAGGATTATTGGTGATAAGTTTTTCACTTGCAAATAAATAGCAAGTAAACCATTACACTTCTGATAAATGGAAATGTATAAAGCGATGTACTCATGATATGGATTATCACAGCATGAGCTGCCAAGCAGCAGTAGCACTGTTCCCAAGTGTTACAGGATTCCTTGCACAACAGGATGCTGTAAAACCAGACCATTCTGCACAGACCATGTTGTATCTCTTGTCACATTTGCACAGCTGTTTACTGAGGATTGAATTTTTGCTTTTCTCATTAAATTAGTTCATTTTATTAGTTTTACTGAGTATAAGTTTTAGTGTTCAGCCTCCACTCACATTGCAAAAGGGTTGTATTTTAAAGCAGCCATTAAAAAGGCTCATTTCTCTGTGTGGATTTGCTCAGCTGAAGCCTACGTGCAGCAAGGTTATTTTATCTTGTTTCATCTCCAGGCCAGTGGCCTCTGCTGGAACAGATCAATTGGTGTTCACAGCACCTTGGTGTCCATGGTGTCTGTCCTCATCAAGGAAAACCACTGAATTAACAATATTAACAGTTTTAAATGGTACAGTGGGTATTGTTTCGATGCTCAGGGTACCTGAGCATATTCTTTAATAACTTTCTTTAAACCACTTCTGTTAAAGGGTTTTGAATTGCCATTGTATAGCAGACGAAATGAGTCAGAACTTAGGGATCTTTATGTAAGCATTGGTAATTATTGGCAGGGCTGCACTTCTCTGCTGCTCACTGTCCTGTTCTGCTTCCCACATAGATATCCCTGTGTTCCCCACCATCACAGCCACTGTGACTTTTCAGGAGTTCCGTTATGACGAGTTCGACGAATCCATTTTCACGATTCCCGACGACTACAAGGAGGACCCCAGCCGCTTTCCCGATCTCTAACCCAGCTGGAAGCTTAGCGGTGAATAACAGCACAGGGAAAGCCAATGGATGTGAATGACCCACAGGTAGAAATAGGAAAGTGGGTCAGAAAGGAAGGGATAGACTTAAAAATCCAGCAGAAAAGGGAACAGACATTGAGTGACTGATGTCCTGGTACTGTTGTGGGCATGTGCTCTGGTCCCTGATTTCCAGCGAGTCTCCCGATGTGTCAGTCACTTGTGTACGTGCAGTCCTGCAGGCGTGGTGGTGACACCTTGATGGCCCTCAGTGCTTTGCACGTGAGAGGACTATAATTCGTTTTTAAATTTTTTACATTTCTTGGTGATACGAAAAGCACTCTTGGACCATTAGCATCAAAGTGGAAATGTCTTAGCTGGATATTAGCCCTCTGAAACATCCCGCCCTACTTAAGGTGACCATATGATATTCTTTCAAGCTTTGTTTTCATGACTTGTAAACTATGTATCATTATGTATAGGTGAGTAATTGAATGTTAGTTGAACGTATATTAGAAGGAATGCCTTTTCTGTAGACGAATGAACCACAAGGTGATCATTAAACGTCTGCGCTCTCGTTCTGCAATGCCCTTCAGAAGCAGCATTGGCTCTGCGAACGTGTGATGGGCGTCCATGGTGGTGCTGTCCCTGTCCCTTGGCTGTGCACGGTGTCATGGAGCTCATGGTGACCATCCCTTCACTTTGCCACCATCCTGGCTGTCCACAGCACTGTGGGAGCAGCACTCTCCGAGGTTTGTTAGCTTCAAATTGTCGCTTTTGGCTCCTTTTTTCACGTTCACATAGGAGATGTGCACCGTAATGGTTGAGGTGATCTTGTGTTCATGCTCAGCAGCCACCTGAAAACATGAGATGCACATCAGGTAACAATCAGCTCAAGTGTGAAATCTCTATATAAGGAGTTGTTTTTCTTGAAGTAAGTTTAATTGTAGTGCACGTTGAATAGGGCATGTTGGAAGATTTTATTTGCAAATACTTAGGTCGTTTCCAGATTAATTTCCTTCCTCCTAATATTTTGTGTAGCTCAGCCTTTCTGTACTTGAGCTCATTCCACATGGTTCCAGTCTCCCAATTCGACAATAATCCGGCTTGTTGGTCTGTTAGAAGGAACTTGTGCAAAAGGCTAATGGTGCTATTTGTTTGTATTCAGAAACTTAGACTAAAGTGCTGTGGTGTAACTGTACAAAAATGTAAATATTTTCAAAGTTATATTCTTTGTGCACTGCAGTTATAACTTTTTTCTGGAAAGTTAAGTATCAGACTTTATAACGAAGAGCACCCTCACTACTTAGCAAAGGTCACCAACCCAAGTAACTGTGCAGGTGATGGCTTGGAATGGCAATAACGCTGGCATGGCAGGGCCATCAATGGGATATGGAAATGCATGTGTCAAGCAGATAATCTCAAATGCTGGCTGAAATCTATCCGTAAAGCCCAAAAAGGCTGCTCTGGAGCTGCGAGGTGCCCTCCAAGGGAGTGGAAAGGTGAGGTTGGTCCCCTCCCAAACTGCGGGTGTGAGGAGTGTTTGATGTGCAGGCTGTGATGGGTGCACGGGAGTTACAATTCAAAATCAAATCGGAATCAGGAAAGAAGCACAGGGAAAGGCAGAGCAGTGGTGGGTGCTCTGGCAGTGATGAACATTCACCATAGCTGGTGTTGAACATGCGGTGGGAATGACAAAACTTGTTCACCCAAGTGATTATGAATTCCTGGTGTTTTACTTCTGTGCTGTAAATGACTGAGGGGCCGGGTCACCACAGCAACGCTGAGCGTTTCTCCATAAGGTGAATGTTGGGAAAATCTTTTTTCTCTGTGTTACGGGGCAGAAACCGTGTGTTTTGCACTGCTTTGCGTTTTGGGTTATTGCAGACGGCCGTGGTGGAGCTGGTGTGGGCAGGAGCAGCTGGAGCACAGTGGTGCAGGTGATGCAGCGGCTGCAATGGATTCTGGACATTAAAAAGGAGCAGAGGTTTGGGTGCATCCCAATGTGGGAGCTGTGGGCTCTGCCTCTCCCTCTGCAGCATGGCCCCTTCTGGTGGTGAATGAGGTGCCTGACTTGGAGCCCACTGTGGTTTGGGAAATGTTTTCTGTTGTTTCCAGGGATTTTGTGGGGTTTTCTAACCTTTGTGGTTACAGGACTTGGGGCCTGTTAAGATTTGCAGAAACTTTTTATAGCAGGGTGCTGAGCTAAGGCTTAGTCTGGAGTATCACCAGAGGGGAACCAGGTTTGGTTGGCTGTGCTCTTGTTACGTTATCACAGTGAACCTGCTGCTGCTCTTCTTGCTATGGGGCTGAAGGATCCCAGTCCATCCCCAGTGTCCTCCCAGTTTGGTGTTTCAGGTTCCCAGCACAGCCTCATACAGGCTGGGTGAGGTCTGGGGACGTTTCCTGCTGTTTGGGTGGTGTTTTCAGTCTGAAACATTCCTAGGGACAGGTTTGGGAACTGAAATCATGGGGGAGCTGGGAGCGTGGTTTGCTGATGGAGATGCTGCTGGAATCCAGGGTTATGGCTGAGCCTACCCTGGGGACAGCTCCTTGGCGGTGCCTCTGTCCTTCCTGATATGGAGGTTTTACTCCCTGCACTGTGTTTTGGCAACATGAAACGTGCAGGTGTGTCTGTGCTGAGGCTCCGCTGTAGCCCTGAAGCATTCTCAGTGCGGAGGAGACTTGGTCCACAGCTGTGCTGTGGGCACTGCTGTTCCCCCATCTCCTGGTCCCATTGCTTTGGGAAATTAATTTTTTCCAGCAGATTAATTTTTGGGCTTCCCCTTCCCTGTTCCTTAAGCCTATGCGGGCATCGAAGGAAGGTTTGGTCCCTGTGGGGTGACACAAACCCCTGCACTGTGGCAGTGGTTGCTGAGTGCAAGAACCCCTGGGTGACTGAAAACGTGGATTGGGGACACCCAGTGGTGTCAGTGGTTGACACCTGTGGGGTGACACAGGAGCTGGCACGGTCTGGGGAGTAATCACTGCATTGAGGGGACATTGGTGCTGTGGTGGCACCATTGAGGGAAAGCTAACCAGAGGAGGAGGATCCCCCTGTGCAGTCGGGGTCTGGTTTCTCTCAAATCTCATTTTTGCTTTCCCGATGGCTGTGAGGTTTTCTATGAAGGCAGATGAAAAGACAGCCCTGAATTGTGGTAAACAGAGAAAAGAAATCAGTGCAAAAGGATTCCTTGGGTTGTTTCTTCCTGGTCTTCCAAAATATTGCTTTAATCTGGGGCAAAGGGAATGTGTTTTTCCTTCCAAGGAGCTGCTGTTCGTCACTGCACTCACTTTACTCAGTCCTTGAGTTACAAATTGAAGCAATTTGTTACAAAACACTGAGATATTTGTGCTGGAAACCCACCTTGTTCAGTTGATATTCAAAGCAACTGTTTTGTTGGTTTTTTTTTAATGTATATGTTCTTGATTTGTAATTCATGCAAGGATAACTGCGTTATTTAATCTGTATTAACAAACTTCCTGTAATGCTGCAGTTTCACATTTCTTTTTCCTTTACAATTTGTAATCTTGTAATCATGGAAACAGTGTCACTTTTTTTTTTTTTTGCATTTTACTATTGTCTGGTCCATGTTTTTAACCTCCCTTCACTAATGGTAATTTTTGGTTGTACCATTTGTTAGAATAAAGACCAAATTCTGCTGTTTGATTCTGAAGCTGTCCAAGATTTGGAGTTAACTCTATGGGATGCAGATGCTGCAGCTTCTCTGAGCAAGGATTCAATCCGAGGGGCAGCTCCTGCTGCTGCCTTCTGCAAGGGCAGTTTATCGGGCATTTTTAACTAAAATCCTGCATTTTCAGGGTAGGCTCTTCCTTACCCAATCTGATGCTCTGAATTTTATTGCAGTGTCTAGGATGCAGAGGGGAAGGAACTGCTGCTGCTTCTCTGGAGCCCAGGAGTGGGAAGCTCAGAAACGGCTGCCTGAGAGGGTGGGAGAGCTTTTGCCTTGGCTGAGCTGTGCAGTTATTTAGGTGTGAGTTTTGTCTCCTAAACACATAAATGTACTCATTTAAATAAGATGTGGCAAATGTCACAACAGCAGCCTCTGGGAAGGGAGGGGGGTGTCTTGAAGAGCAAAACCTGGAACTCTGCAAGTTTTATTTTGCCTGGTAGGTTTATTTTAGGGTTGGCTTGGTGTTTTGGGTTCATTCTTGTTTGTTTGTTTTTTTACTCAGAATTGTTCACCAAAAGCTGAGCTCACAGAGCAGGGACCAGCACAGCTCTCCAGCAGTGAGGATTTGCTAACTCGTAAAATCTTTTATTGATAAAGGGCAAAGAGAGCTCACATTTGCAGTCACCGAAGTGCTTCAACCCTGACCAGTTCAAAACCACAGTAGCTGCTGCCTCACACCATTGAACAGCACAGGGAGCTGCAGTGAAATACTTCTAGAACATGTGCTGGGCACACAACAGATTTTATTGTTTTTAAAATGAACCAGAAACACCATAATTTGAGATGCAGCCCTGGATTTACCGTTTTGAGCTCAAGATCCTGACTTTGGTACAGGATATGAATGACTTCCATACCACCACACTCTAACGATGAAGGATGTTCACTTTATTATTATAAATTGGTTTATGTTCTTGTACTGCACATATAGCTATCTCCATGACAACAAAAAGGCACATCTATGTAGACATCCTGCACCTTCTGTGTCTGTTTTAATTATAATACAAGAATGATCCCTCTCTTCCCTAGAAATAAAAGCCTGGAGCTGGTTGTGTGCCAGATCCCTCTCCAGAGTGACAAAATACTTGAAACAGTAAAAATTTACATTTCTACAAACTCTAAAAATGACACAGTAATCTAAAGGGCCTGGGGCAAAGGGGCAGGTTAAAAGGTGCTTTGGCTCACCAAGTTCAATATTGCTTACAGGTTCATCCCAAAAGTGAGGAGCTTAAAGCAGTGTGTTCTCTCTGCTGCCTTTCTCCATGACCAGCCTGAAGATGAATGTTCCTATTTCAATCAAAATACAAAAGATTTGTACAAATACGGATTTCTTTTAAAATACCTCTACAATCCCATTCCCTTCATTCCCCCAAATTAAAGTAACCCTTGGTGTAATGAACTTTGCTACTGCTAAACCAGCAGAGG